ATAGACTTTTGGCCTACCTTTAAAATGTGACAGTTGTTCAGATTAGCTTACTGTCTAATTGCACGACATATGAGGAACCCAAATATACCGTACTTGAAGGACAAGTCATGAACCTCGTTTACTGAATGCTGAATACGACAAATTTAATTGACACCCAGCTACCCGTCTGGCCTATGACGGCTAAAATGGCGACTGGGTGAACTCACTACATCAGAATACACCAGGGGCAAGGAACGGTTCCGCGAAACCTAGAAGCGAGTACGAAGAAATCAACCCAGCAGAGTCAACCCTATGCCGAATCTTTTGTGCCGCCACCACCGTCGCGAACCCGGCTTAACCTTATATTTCCCCGTTATTCATCTCTTCCAGTCACTTTACTTCCAATAATAACACTGCTATTTCTATTCCATAATCTGTCCTATAATCTTACTTGCCGCTTATCTCCCACATGACTCTATAATCTCACCCTGTGTTTCTGTCTTCTTTACCGCTGTCATCTCTCCGAGTTCTACCTAGGTTTCTTCTTCTCCTTAGCACCACTTCCTTTCACCTAGTTTCTTCGTACTTCCGCCCCCTTGATTTCCAGTATCCACTATTGATAGTGCGAGTGTAGAAAACTGATAGTTTTTGATCTCTTGCTTCTAGTTCTTAGGGCTTCGTTTCAGTTGTCCGGTTCACTCCTGCAGTGGACCAGGAAATCCCCTCTACCTTCTTGCTTTTAGCCTCGGTGAGGTGGATGTTCCATGGGTTTGTAAGTTGTAATGTGTAGGGTGATTTGGGAGCTACTGGCTGCTGAGATGGCTAGAAAACTGTCACGACTGCTGTCTGCGTGGATAACTGAAGAAGAACAGCAAGGTAGTGGCAAAAATTGCAGAGTGAACAGGAAAAAAATAAAGGAAGAAAGAAAAAGGAGAAGAAAAGGAGGGTTGAAGAAGAGGAATAAAGGAGGGAGAAAAGTGCGTGGGAGTTGCCCGAATAGCAGAAGTAGATAGCGTGGGTTTGGTTCCCACAGAAGAATTGGTAGGTAATGTGGGCGTATTACGGAGCGAGATAGTGAGTTGTAGGTAGCAGAGAGGTGAGAGTGGGCCAGTGAGATTGGTGACTCCATCAGTAGCAGTGATAGACTATGCAAGGTGACATAAATGTCTAACCATCTCTTGAATGAGCCTATTGAGGGAGCTGTAACGACATGTCGCGGCAGGGCATTCCATAAAACACATACTCTCGGGGAGAAAAAACTGGACCTGAGTATGGTGTTGGCTTTCTGGTGTTCTATCTTAATGGAGTTTCCTCATGAAGACCACAGAGTTGCAGGCAAAATTGACGTTTGTGTGGTTTGTCCAGTGAGCGATCTTGTATGCCGTAATAAGGCCACTCGTCTTCCTACCATAACCCAAGGTAAATAGGTTTAGGTGTTTTAGTTTTTCAGGATGTCTCTCCTTAGCCCCACAACTGATTTTGTTGCAGTTCTTCGCATTCTTTCAAGGAGGTTAGATTCTCTCTTGAGTGTTGGGGGGCACCATATCAAAGGCCTCCAGATGAGTCCGCACGAATGATTTTAAAATAGTGAGGAGGAGTTTGGGAGTGACGGCACCAGGCTGTCTGTGCAGAAAGTGCTGAATGGCGTTAGCTCTGGGTTGTCATATCTTTGTAGTTGGAGCTGGTGTTCGGGGTGTCGGAGAAGTTGAGCCCCAAATCTTTCTCCATAGACCCTTTGGTGATAGTGTGGTTGCCCAACATGTACTGGGAGCCGGTCGTACTTGCTTCATATTTACTGATGTGTATTACTTTGCACTTCTCCAGGTTGATGCTTAGGCCATTTTCCGACAACCAGATATCTTTTCTACACTCCTTATACAACCAGTTCGAATAACTGCCTTGTGGTAGGAGACTTGAGGAACCCATCTGCATCGCAGTCCTAGGGAGAGTCGTACAATTAACAACTAAACCCTCGTCGGGCTAACTAGAGCTACAGCAGGCGAGTGGGTAGATCTACTGCGTTGGAACCCACTCAAGACCTGTGACCATTGTGCACGACTTAGAAGCGAGAGTGAAGAAATCGATTGGTCTTCACAAGCTCGTGAAAACATATTGGATACAAGGTGGAAGCAGAAACTGGCGCGCTCCTTGAGTAGTGACGTGTTTCGCTCGTCTCTCAGCTTTTGGATTTTTCCACAATGAAAAACTCCCACTTGCAATACTCAATCTAAAAACATCGAACGTTTGCAGCACTTCTGTCCGTCCACGCACCTCACCCCTGCGCATTCGTCAGCTCACTCCTCAACAGTTGAAAATTGGCATTATTATTCCTTTGAACCAACCGGTCTACCTCCTGTCAGTGGTTCTTGGGCGTTTCAGCTGCCAAACTGCCTTAGCTCTCGGTTCTCCTCGGAGGTCATTCCCCAGGAAATATCTTTCCTGGTTATACATACGCATCTGGAGCTTACGGTTAAACTCGTTGGTCAAGAGCAGAGGATCAAGTGACAAGTGTCTGAAGGTGAGCCAACATAAATTATCTTCCCTTTTCTATTCTGTCCTTTTGCTGCATTCAGTCTTCAACCCTCTTATTGTTGTTAACTACTTGTTTTCCCAAGAAGTTTATATCATAGCGACATGTCTGCCCAAAACGCTAGGTCTGAAGCTTTGACACGGATAACGCGGTCGTGCACAACAACGGCCAGTAACACCCTAAACAACACACTAGTCTGTACTAGAAGACAAACAGAGGTAGGGCAGAACATCGAACTTCTGAAGAAGTGGCCAACCCATGTTTCTAGAATTCCAGTAGCCATCAGACAGGTGACACAGAGTAGCACTAGCCCGTCACAAACTAGTCCTATCTTGAGCAAGGATCATACCATGCCTGAACATAGAAGACGACGTAAAAGGCTTCAGAACAAGGCAGCCACAAGCAGTTCGCCACAATCCGTAGCACCTTATTCATGGAAGGAAGGCTGTATTACGACACCCGATGGCTGCAGTGTTTGCACCAAAGTTGTTTCGGTAGTCGATGAGGCATTTGCATGCAACCTGTGTCAACGATGGGTGCATTGCCACTGCGATACCAAAGTCCCCCGACAATACTATAAGCTGATGAAGAGACAACCATGCAAGTGGTTCTGGTACATCTGTCCAGAGTGCAGGAAAATGCCCGCACTCCGCACAGAAAGCCTGAAGGAGATGCTCTCCGCCACGCAAAAGCTACCAGCATCCTCGAATAAAGTAGGGTTAACACCAAAGGATAACACAGAGAGACCTGGAAACAGACCTAGAGCTCCAGCTGTGGGCACGCCATCTCGCGTGGGGACCATATTAGGTCAAGTCTCCATACCCCCACCCGGCCCCAGGGGACGTCAAGCGCATGGCCAAAGACATCGACCGCCGAAGCCTCTACGAAACCCATTCCGAACACCCCACACACCGTGACTGAGAAACAACCAGTGGAATTACTCAAACCCATTGGTAAGTCGGGCGTGCCACCCACAACGAACCCAGGTCACAGGAGGACCAACTCGATCATTTTGTTCAACGTCGATGTATCGACAGACTCATTGTTGGTCGAGAGGGAACAATTTGACAGCCGAATGTGGACCGACTACTGTCAGATGCTGGGACTCCCTCCCCTCCCTGCAACTTTGTGTCGCCTTTCTCGAGGAAGCCATGCACCCCGAGATAAGCCACCCCCTTTACGTGTGTCCCTAAATACCGCCAAAGAGGCTGAAGACACACTCCTCCTCTCGCGACAACCGGACGTTGTTAATGCCTGTAAAATTCGGGCCAGGCCTGACAAGCCATGGTCAGTAAGAGAGGAGGAGAGAAAGTCAGCGGTTGGAAATCCCAACAGAAACAACACTATAGTTGTACATGGGATTCCAGAATTGCCAAGTGACAGCTCGGTCAAAGATCGGTACTTTCACGACGTCCAACAATGGCAATGGCTCTCAACCAAAGTTGGTCTCAACAGTATACCGGCCAACAGCGTCAGTAGACTGCCAAGGCCAGCGCACCTGAAGACCATACCCAATCCCAGACTACTTGCCGTCCAGTTCGACTCATATGCCTCCCTCACAGACGTTCTGCACGCATGGTATAATGCGAAAGATCGCATGGGTGGCTCAATACGTATATGTGAAAGTAAGCCTAGACCCACAAGGCAAGAGGAGAGACGGCAACCACCAAGACCTCTGGAGTCAGTGGTCGTCACACAGGCGCTGACCAGTGAGTTAGATACATCAAGTAAAGAAGCCACCACTGCTACAGCCCCCACCCAAGTTAAGAACAAAACACAAAAAAACGGAACAATGCCAGTCCTATGAGGACTGGCGAGGCTAAATTCAACCACGTAAGCGCTCATCCCTCGAAAATACACATCCAGACCTCCCCTCTCATCAGGCACACTCTAATATGTATGTACAGCAACGTTAGGGGGCTAAGAGGGAAGGTAGCAGAAATGAGGACGCTGCGTGAACATCAGCACTCCGACATCATATTCATCACCGAATCCTGGCTCTCATCGGACATCTCCGACGAAGAGATGCGTGTTGCTGGCATGGAACTCTTCCGCAGGGACAGGGAACATAGAGCAGGAGGGGGAGTGGCTATCTACGTAAACTCCTGTTTAAAGGCAAGGATGGTTAGCGATACGGCCTTAACCCAGCTCCCAGAGTCTCTATGGTGCTACTTCACTCTCTTCTTTATTCTCTCTTCATTCCTTTACCACTACCTTACTATTCTCTTCCAGGTACCTACACAGACAGGAGTCATGGCAGTTCTCTAAACTTCCCAGCAACCCGTAGCTCCCTAATCACTCTACAAATTACAACCTACTAACCCACAAAACATCCACCTCACCGAAGCTAAAAGCAAGAAAGCAGAGGGGATTTCCTCGTCCACTGCAGGAGTAAACCGAACAACTGGAACCAAGCCCTAAGAACTAGACGCGAGAGATCAAAAACTACTAGTTTTCTACGCTCGCACTATCAATATTGGATATTGGATATTGGACATTGGACTTCTTTCCCAGTGTTATAAAAACGCAAAGTAGATGTCGCGTAACCAATGTTAAAAGACGGATTTACTTCTCTGGCTGATCTGGTTCATGAAATTAATAATTTAATTGAAAGCCAAAAATACGAAGATGCATATAAACTTGTTCTTGGCCACTTACCTGATTCTCGGTTCCAATCATCCGATGTGTATTATGTTTGCTCTCGTCTTTGCTTAAGTATAGGTTTGCAAGATGATTTTCATCCACTTGATTTTAAGCTGATACATATTCAAGAAGTAACAGAGAACAGTATGAATTTTATATTAACTCTGGATATCGGTTTGCAAAAACGGGTTATTCATTAGACGAAAACCATCCAGGTTGTGCCAAGGTTTTACCAGTGAAGTTCTTACCTGAAAATAATAGTATCTAGCTATCCTCCTTGAAAAACAGTTATGGATTAAGGAAAAAGAAAATGGATTGAGGCATCAATTACATTGAGAGAACATTTGCTTGTAAGTCAGAACATTTTTGCAACATAATGAAAGAAATCACTTTCTCTGGAACCGACTGATTCTTTAGTTTTGCATAAAATGGGATTATGGTACGTTCGTTTTGTGTATGCTTTTGCAGTTCATAAGGTGTTTTGAAGTAGCCAGTTGGACATGGATAGAGAAGAAGGTCGCTTATGCTACATTCAAAGAAGCTCCTCAATCGTCTTATAACGAAGTATTGCAAAACACCTTATTTACATATTTTAGGCACTGAAGTACTTTGTAGCTGCTGAAGGAAGTATGTTAATCATCATATGTCCTTATAATACCTAGGAAACCATAAGTCTTCCTCACTGAATTTGTTGTATATTGCTCGTAGTTATTTTCAGTTGAAACAGTATGACATGGCTAGAAACTACCTTGAAAAATGCATAAATCACAAAAGTGAGGATGATAATGTGGAACAGGTCTGCATTGATTCACTAATCTTATTCATTTTGATAAGGTAAGGCTTGAAGCAACGAAGTTGTTAAAAGGCCTGAGAGAGTTTTCAACCTAATAGAACTGGCCGAACAATACTGTGTTGAAATGTTTATGCGTTTTCAGTATCCACAAGAACCAGAAACGTAGTAATTGTGCACAGAAGTTCCAAATGCTTAATCAGTCCTTTCTTTTAACAGATTTCCTGACAAGATGAAATGGAAATTCATTCGATTATTGTTTTGGCGTTACTCATTTTCAGTTCTCAGTAAACTAAATGCCTACAGAATTCTCATAGACTTCTTAAGATGTTTATGAAGCTAAAATGTTTCCAGGTAAAACTACACCTAGCATGTTCTGTTATTGCTCAGGCAAACTCTTATGGAAAAGTCATTTGCCTCGCCAGATAAAATGTTTTTCTAGTTCGGATAATCGAGTCTACTGAACCGTAGGACATCAGTTTTATTGCACTTAAGTTGCAGATACTATAAAAATGCTTTTCTATAAACCTTTAAGTAAAATTAACCCTTGTGTCTACCATAACGCCTACGATGTACACTTTCCTTAATACATGTAAACGAAAGTTTTCTTGTCCACACAATTTAAACTTTCTTCGAGTTCAGGTTTATGTTCTTAACTACAGGAAAATAGACCATAATTCAATCCTCTTATTTTCTGCTTCTTGTCGCCTCATCAGACATCGGTTCTAACAGATCGCTCTCAGAAGCTTGACAAAAACTTTATCTTCTCCTTCAGAGATCTCATCAGAGATCTGTAGTGGAACCAGAACCCAATGAGGCTAAAAATTAGATTTCTGTTACTTCTAAACACTAAAGTGAAAATCAAGGCAATAAAAAGTTGACCAAAGTGTGTGATCGGAAATTCAGTAACGCAGCAAACATTTGAAAAATAGGCTGACTCTGAAGCAGTGGTTTTAGTCCAGTGTATTGCATACTTGGTCTTAGCAGTAAGATCAAAAGGGAAAAGCAGTATGGTGACAACAAGTAGATTATAAGTGACGTTTAAAAGATAAGGTGAGTTTCTATTGAAATTTCCAAAAACAGCCTGACGGAACTTGTCGTAGGCAGCGGCGAAAGGAAACAGAACATATAAGTAACGAATCATGGTTTATTTTCATGCAGTCAAGAACATAAAACTTCATTTAGAGCAACTTTTAACTGTAGAAACAAGAAAAACTTACTTTTCAGATATTAGAAAAAGTGTACGTGAAGAGTAAAGTGATAGGCAGAAGCGCTAATCTTAATTTGAGGGCGTATAAAAAATATTTGCATAGTCTTCCCAAAGTACTGGATCTTATGACCAAATTACTTTTCTAGGAACTGTCCCTGTGCAGACATGAAAAACACAAAGGAAAAACACTAGTTATTCGTACTTGTAATGTACCGACGAATACGAGACCGAGAAAGAACACAACAGAGTAGTCAAGTGGTAACATTATCTTTGAGAAGTCGTGCCAAAATACTAGTGGATTCCGATCAGCTGGCTAGAGGGTCGACAAGAGTAGTGCAACATAACACGACAGCGTGGTAGATGTTGTAGACTCTTAACCACGTGCCCTATGATTAGCGAGTCCGATGAAACTATGAGGGTTAGTATCAATTATGAATCTCATCAAACCCTAGGCTATCGATTTTGGGGAACTATGTACAGTTGCAGATCACTTCCCTCTTGGTTGGCTCGTGAGGGCCCTAAGACGATACCAGCTGGAAGTAAAGACCCAGTGGTTTCATCAATAGTAAACCCCTACCGATGAGATCACTATGAGGAATACTCTCTGGTTGTCAGAAATTATTTTACGGCCTTTTTTCAAAAAAGAAAGAAGAACAATAAATTGAATAATATACTGGTCACAATCCCTAGTATGCTTTGACGTTCCGTTTAGTGCTCGTTGCACTTGGAATAAAAGCAAAAGTCTGTAATACCACAAAAAGGTTTTGTGAGAATGGGAAATATTTATATCCTACGTGTAAGAAAAACGTGGGAAATAGGTTTGATGCTTAGTTCTATCATTTTTGAAACATGTATGACCACAAGATAGTAAAAACTGATACCAAGAAGATTAAATGTAGGCAAATTCTTGCATTCCTACTAAAAGGGGTGTCTCGAAAAAAATTTGAAAGTCAAAAATAATAGGCACACTTTCACGTACACTATTCAGTTTAGTATGTCTTTAGATAATCCGGGAATCTGACGGTTATACCCGATCGCGTTTTTGTTGTGCAGTTGACAGTTGTATCTATACTACCAAACATATCATCAGGAGTCTCTATAATTGGGCCATCTGCCGGTGGCTTATGATAGAGTTACCTTGGAAGTAACCTGGTTCCAAACCGTCGATACTAAAGATATCTCTATGTCCGTTTCGCTCTACAATACAAGAATTTTCGTGCTGTTTGATGACTTAGAATTGTCCATCATAAGGTGGTTCAAGCAGTAGACAAACTGTATCATGGCATATGAAAACGTGTTATTTCTTACGTAAAACGGAGTGAATGAGGATATCAGTTGTTTGAGATTTAACAGGAGTAGGCCTGACTGAACGCATCGAGTTTGTAAGCCCAATCACGTAAGATGCTCTGTCAAAGTTGAAGTAGTAACTAACTCACCTGGTAAGCGAAGAGTAGCCTCGTAGACAAGGTCTGAAAAAGTGCACCCAGCATCAGGTTTCAACACGTTCGGGACCAGAGGCAGAGCTTTGGCCCACTGAAGTGGAACCTCTCAGTTTTCGATGGAAACATTCCGCTATGCCATTTGCTTGTGGATGGTAGGCTGGCGTTTGGAACCGAGTACAACCTAAAAGTTCCGTTAGAGTGTGAAATAACTTACACTCGAATTGATGCTCATGGTCCGCTGTTACGTAAGATATACATTCAAAGTTTGCGATTTGTCTTTCGACGAAGACACGAGCAACAGTTTTTGACAGTAATATCCTTAATAGGTACTGCTTTCTACCATCTCACAAAAACAATCCACGCAGATGAAAAATTAAGTGTATCCACTAGACTCTAGTAGGGGTCCCACAAAATCTATATGGATGTGCGCGAAAGGCATGTTTAGGGCTAGAAAAGAACCTAAAGAAGTTTTCATTACACTTTTGAAAAGCTCTGCATGATTGAGAATTTATATACCGCTAAAGTATCCTCAACATTTAACCAACCACATTGGATAATTTCTTCAAAGTCTTCAACTGGTATTAAAGACTTTTTCATGAGTTTGCGAGCAGACAAAATGCACGCAACTTTTCATTGTGAATATGATTACACAATAAGATTGCTGCTGACGACTGGTAAATTTGATAACACTAAATAGACGTATATAATTTACATCTAACACTAGACTATTTAACCTTTGTGTCCTGTTAGATCTATAACAGGAAATAAAACAAGACAGTACATGAAAGAAGAATCCAATGCAAACTTTATCAACAACAGATAATAGACTTATAGGTGGCAGTGTGATTAGAAAGATGAAAAAGCAAAATTACAGTAGAATAAACAGGAAAGATATTGGATACCAGAGAGAAAAGAAGTCAAAATGACCCGATTGCTAAGCTTCTCATGATGATAATTAATGGATACACCTGGGAAGAGGATGGGACAGTTTACATTGTAGTAAACCTGCAACATATGGGATAACTTAAACATGCGTTGCGTATATCAAGCTACTAACTAGTTCAACATGAATGCTGGGGATGGCAGGAACAAGCCACGTTGCAGACTGAATAATTCTTAAACTTCTGGCATAAGACATGTATTTAGATGTAGGCTGTCTGTATGAGGATATCTAAATGATCGAAATCATTGACTATAGATTCTCAGTTATATGACTGAAGTAAATCGCGAAGGAATGTCCGCGTAATCTATTTGTCATCTTCAACATTTTCAGCCATGTATATACCTCTGCTTATGCATCCTTTGTCACAGTATGCACTTTGTTAACTTCAGTATCATTCTTTTTCTATCCACTTCTTCTTTGTTTACTGATGTCATGCATGACAACCTGGATTGGTAAATTTGTGCAGAAAGTTATACACTGATTGAGGACATCAACCTAAGACTAATCCATAATCCCAGCCAGGACATGTTGTGTGGTCCAGATGGGATAAATCCCTGAATAATATCAATACTAGTGGATATCATCGCAAAACTACTAACGTGGTTGTTCCATGGGCAACTTAATCAATCAAATCACGGAGAGATTAGGAGGTCACCATCATCATTTAAGTGTTTAAACCTGACAACGGACATTTGGTGGTCAACTATTACTTGGTTAGTCTGACTACTTCAGTAGTTAGGCTCTTGACAAAATATCTTCTATTATGCAATTTTATACCTTGTCAGTGTAAGCAGGCTTTTATCCATGGAATAACACTGGTTTTGAATCAGCCACTCATCCCTAACTCGAGGGGAATAAGGTACTAACAGTAGCATGAGTCATGAAGTACTCAGTGGCGACAGTGAAGCCTCGACAGTGTCTCTCACTTGGATCTCAAGAAGAATCTGAAAATGTTTGGGACCCATAACGTAATTATGTACTGATTCAAAGAACATTTGTGGGAGAAGATAGAGAATACGGGAGAAGGGCATTTTTCTTCTCGAAGACAGGTAAAGATTGGAATGGCTCAAGGTAGGCACCTCTTTTTATCTACATGGGTGAGTTACCTAGAAAAACTGTTTCCTCCCTCCCCATGTTGAACTCTGTAGACCAAGTCACAGTTATGGGGATAAGCTTTTCCTACAGAAAAACCTGAATGCTGCAGTAGATCGAATAAGAAATGATAGAAATTAATGTTACCAGGAGTGTATTTATGCAGATAGATCATGAAGACCCAAATGAAAAATTGAGTAAAGGCATGCTGCAACCAAGAACTGAGTTCCACAGTCATGAACTTGAAATAACATCTAAATTCAGAGCAGTAGCAGCCAAAGCCTTTCTAGTCTTGTGGTCATTGCTAAGATCACTCAAGAACTTGATGAGAATAAGTTTTAGGTCTTATAACCACCATATTTTCTACGCTATCTGGATTACGGGGCACAAGCAGTGATCTCATGCGTCAAATTTGAAGCCGATAGGTTGGAGAGGGTTCAGAGGTTAGAAAAAAAGGTTTTCAAAGGGCGCTACAACCTCCATTACTTAGAAAGACTAGGCCCACTGGATCATTTTGCTCTGTCTTATCGTAGGATGAGCGGTGATTGTAATTTAAAGCGTCATGTTGTGAATGAGGATTTACATTGTAAACAATCTCAGTTATTCATCCTTCCTGGAGTTGTTCACCTCCAAAGACATTATCGAAATAACTATAAACCATGG